TGTCAATCACGTGGCGTATAGCCTCATCATATAGCATGGAATATAGCTGCTGTTCGATGAGGTTGGTAAGGGTTTTTGGCAGTGAAACCGTCGTGTTGAAGCAGCAGCTGCCTGCCAAATCAATTCTCCTTGACACAGGACACTGCATTGATATCTCAACGACTTGTAGACCTATTCACAGAACGTGTTATTCACCAACCAGTTGAATTTGTCATAGCCTCAACTGTTTGCAGGTTTAAGCCACCTCTGTGTGTGTGTGTGTGTGTGTATGTGTGTGTGTGTGTGTTCAACAACAGGTCGCAATCACAATAAACATCCTTCAGTAAATTCAACTCTGAAATTATATTCACTTCATTCAATTGATTTTCACTGTCATTTCTTCCCTTAATTTAGCCCTCCCACTTCACCTCTCTTCATTTAATCACCTTTCATTTGAACAACTATGACAAGTATGTCTGTGATATGACTGTTTGAAATGAGTTGTACAAGTGAATTAAACGAATCAGACAAATTACGTCTTCTCATCTTCATTCTCTTGTGTTGTGTTGTGCTGCGTTGTGTTGCGTTGTGTTGTGTTGTCTGAGATGGATGGCTTGATTGTGAGGTCTCGATTGTCTTTCTGCATAGACAACAGTTAACCAGCACATACTACTTCAATATTGTTTTACTGAATCTTCATTTCGTGTGAAATTAGACAAAGTGACTGAACACACATAATGTAGTGGATGTGAACGATCAGTTATGAGTAGAATATTGATTGACACAACAACACAATGAGACTTCTGATTATTGGAGTAACGCAGCCAATCATTAAATGACCAATGAATTAGGCTTTCCTGTTGCATCGTCAACCATTAACTTCCATTATGTACAAATGTCTAATAGTTTAACTAGCACTTCCCCACAATTTATACATACAGTCCACTCCATCAATCTGTATTTGCCTAACAGTCATCGACAATGTTATGCGTGAATCACATAGGCAGATTGGGAAGTGTCATTTTACACCAGCATTCCCAATCCCTAATCACCATCAACAGGAAAGTAGAGCAGTTTCCAACCGAAACAAGATGAACACGAATTGTCATTGCAATCGCAATTTCAATTTCACATGATTTCAAGGACAAACTGAATTCCCTCACTTCACATACATACTTCATGTCAGCTTGCTATGGTTGGTTACATTTGAGAATGGACACACTGGTACACCACTGTGACGGAGGACACCATCATGTCAATGAATGCATTAGGAACTAATAGGATTTCAATGACACATACCCTTACCATTAAAGTGGTCAGTAGTTATTGTGATCTTTTCTTTTATATTATATAATCCCTTCGATTTTCCCTGAAACCGAAAGTGTGATACATTTACCGTTGACGACCAGTCATACTCTGTCATGAGTTTTATTTGGTGTGTGTAATACACACGATACCCCCTTCTCTCTCTCTCTCTCTCTCTCTCCCTGTCTCGCATGGGCAGTGTGTTCGTCTCAGTGTCGATGTTATACATTTATTTGCATATTCATTCATATTATTGAACAGTCACAATCAGATGTTTACTTAGAATATATGCAAATGATACTATACAGTACAGTGAAGCTCACCTCATACCACCCCACCTCAGCTCAGCTCAGCTCAACAAACCAACTACACATTCACATTCTACTCTGTAAGCTGTAATGAATCATATGAGTGTCATCGATGTCTACACTACACTGTACATGATTAGGTTGAAACGAGTGATACATCAGTTGGAATTTTCACCTTGGTTAATAACAATTAGTAGGTACTTCAGATGATAAACATGGTGCTTATACCCCTTCTGCTTGTAGTCTCTTCGATTTTCGCTTTAACCAGAAGTGTAATAAATTTGCCTTACCATTGGTACAGTTGATCATGTATTATTGTATTGACTAAATTATACTATGAATTTGATATACTGAGGAATGTTTTGCTTTGTTTTGTTGTTGTTTTGTCTTCATATATTGTTGTGTTTGTTGTGTGGGGAAAAAATAGACGCCTAGAAACACCTGTGTCGGCTACAACAGATGAAGATGTTACCACTACACCGAGTTCTCAGTCATACAGTGAGTTATCTAGACTATTTTGAATTGGTTTGTTTGATGTAATCAGTTTATTCAATATATAGTACACAGTGAATGATACAGTTTTATTTACTTGATGATGTTTTGAGCATAAATTATTTATTCCTCATAATCTTATCACTGATACACAAAACTGTTCTCCAATTTTAGGGGTAAAATGTTATAAGTTGTAGTATTGGACACGCGTAGGCTGACACAGTAATTAGATTACCTTTAAAAATACCCTGTTATATAATACACCTTTAACAGACTCCATACTAATTCCTTCATCAAGATAAAGCTATAAATATCTAAAGAGACAGGAAGTGAAACGTGATTTGTACGCTTCACTTGTAGAACTTTACATTTTTCAAGGTTGTCTGATTATCATTATTTTAATAGATTTTACGTTTTGCATAAATGTATACCTGATTGGAACAGAATAGTTACAACATTTCAACCGGAATTCATATCTCAAATTCATCTAAGAAATAATGAAAATTAAATTATAAAAATATGCATAATTCAGTGTCTTCTTTCTGTCATGAAATTGTATTAACTAGAAAACTAGATAGTACTGAAGAATAGATGCGTTTTGTACTATTCTGCTACTTTATAGTAGTGCACATCCATGATACCATGGGAAATTGAACTCAGTTGCGTAAAGTAGTAACTAGTGATTAATTTTAAGTTACTTTTACCATAACTGGACATCAATTCAAAAAACATTGATAATCACGGAGCACTAGGACGTCAAAGTCAGGATCGGAAAAGCAAGACGGGCGTTCATTAACCTGAAACCAGTGTGCAGATCTTCTGTACTGCACTCAGTATAAAGCGTCAACAACATCCGGATTTTCAACACCAAAGTCGAGTCAGTGCTTCTGTGTGATGGTTGAGAGAGAGAGAGAGACTTGGTGCGCTACGAAAGGCATTTCCAACAAACTTCAGACATTCATCAACAACTGCCTACGCTGGCTCGTTGTTGAAGATCAGATGACCAGAATAGAATAATGAGAATAAGGAAGGAGGAACTGTGGCTGGCTGGCTGGCTGGCTGGCTGGCTGGCTGACAATGAACCAACGAAGCAAGAACCTATCACTCAACAAATATGCACTAGGAAGTGGAAGTGGAGATGGAGATGGATTGGGCATACACTGAGAAGACCGACTGGAGACATCACGCATCAGGACAGGCACTCGAGTGGAACCCAGATGGGAAGCGACGAGTTGGGCATCCGAGGTGAGGGTGATATGGAGGAGATGGTGTGAAAAGAAATGAGAGGTTGTGGGCTGTCGTGGAGCCAGGTTGAGAAGATTGTAGAGAAGAGAGTAGAATGGTGACGTGCTAGTGAAGCTGTATGTTCCATTAGGAACCCAAGGGACAAATAATACAATAGTAAAATAAATCACGGAGCACTGGATAGCTGTTTTGCTCGTTTACTGACTCTTCAATCGTACAAGGACAGTACTCTGCAGAGACCTAATGGGAAGGAAAAGAAAGATAGACTAGGTGTAAGGTCATTTCTTAGAATCCTGTACAGCAGGATTAAATCCTTCTCTCTGTCTGAGATGGATAAAGAGAAGAAGTTCAGCTCCTTAAGTCGATCTTTATTGATCAGGCCAGGCATCACGAAAATCACAAGAGTGGCTGCCCTCTGAACTCTTTCCGAAAGATCTGACTCACCTTTCGATAAGGACTTATGGCCTGTGTACAGTTTTCTAGCTTAGACCTAACTAAGGAAGTGTATAAGATGGCGAACATATCAGCACTTAGTTTTTTTGAACATTCTGAGTAGTCCCAAAGGTATCCTAAACCTTCGAGCTGCTACCAATCGACAGTATGCCAATATTTTCAAACCGCATCTCACTGTGACTCGTAAGTCACTGTTGGTCAGTATCGAGTGTAGAAGAGTTCCACCAATGATAGGTGCTGCCATGTGTATGCCGAATGTGCATGCTCACACACTTACCTTTGTTGATGGCTTCAGTCACTACTCTGATCAGTAAACAAGCTGTTTAGGTCTGTATGAAGTTATCCATATCCTCGTCATCCCTAATTTCCAGTCAGATTTTTACATCATTAGTGTAGTAGAAGTACAAAAGTAAATGGCATACAAAATTAGTTAAAATAAGGGAAATCACTAATCTGAAGAAAAGCAGTAGGATAACTGATAATCCACATAATATGTAAGAGTTCGGAAATATGAGAAAGCTACAGATAAACTCCTAATATTAATGTTGATAATGACGAATAAATAAAGTTGTGTAATTGCTACCGCAAGTCCTTGTGAATACTGAGAGGAGGGGATCCATTCAATTTACTGAGCATATCGTGAAGAACCTGTATAACGAAATTCTAACCAATCCAATTTCGAAAACACCTAATAGACACAGGACATGACGTTGAAATATACAGTTCTGTTAAGATAAAAAGATTTACAGAGAATGCTTAGATTACTGCGTTTCGTGAAAGTGATTACAATAACACACTTTCAACTTGGCCTTTTTACGCAGAAGGAAAATGCAGTTGGTCTCTGAATCCCTTGATGAATATAATTTGCTTCAGTTTCATTTTAACTACATAATTCTTGAAACTATTTGGGATTCATCAGCTAGTCTCAGTAAGAACAAAATCATTCACTAGAGTGAAGGTATATCCAGCTAACGAGTGCCAGATAGGACGAAACGCAAGTATTCGATTCCTCTATTAGCCACAAACAAGTAAATTACCATAATAAATACTCCGACAGTATCCAAGTATCTGTCTAGAAGCCCCATATGACAACAAAGGTTCAATAAGTCAATCTAGTAAAACAAAGGAGAATAACAAGCAGATTCATGAGTTTCAAATTTTACATTACCTTATCTGCTAATAAACAGTGAACTGTTAGACTGTAAAAGGTGGCTCATGATGATGATGATGATGATGATGATGATGATGATGATGATGATGATGATGATGATGATGATGATGATGATGATGATGATGATGATGATGATGATGATGATGATGATGATGATGATGATGATGATGATGATGATGATGATGATGATGATGATGATGATGATGATGATGATGATGATGATGATGATGATGATGATGATGATGATGATGATGATGATGATGATGATGATGATGATGATGATGATGATGATGATGATGATGATGATGATGATGATGATGATGATGATGATGATGATGATGATGATGATGATGATGATGATGATGATGATGATGATGATGATGATGATGATGATGATGATGATGATGATGATGATGATGATGATGATGATGATGATGATGATGATGATGATGATGATGATGATGATGATGATGATGATGATGATGATGATGATGATGATGATGATGATGATGATGATGATGATGATGATGATGATGATGATGATGATGATGATGATGATGATGATGATGATGATGATGATGATGATGATGATGATGATGATGATGATGATGATGATGATGATGATGATGATGATGATGATGATGATGATGATGATGATGATGATGATGATGATGATGATGATGATGATGATGATGATGATGATGATGATGATGATGATGATGATGATGATGATGATGATGATGATGATGATGATGATGATGATGATGATGATGATGATGATGATGATGATGATGATGATGATGATGATGATGATGATGATGATGATGATGATGATGATGATGATGATGATGATGATGATGATGATGATGATGATGATGATGATGATGATGATGATGATGATGATGATGATGATGATGATGATGATGATGATGATGATGATGATGATGATGATGATGATGATGATGATGATGATGATGATGATGATGATGATGATGATGATGATGATGATGATGATGATGATGATGATGATGATGATGATGATGATGATGATGATGATGATGATGATGATGATGATGATGATGATGATGATGATGATGATGATGATGATGATGATGATGATGATGATGATGATGATGATGATGATGATGATGATGATGATGATGATGATGATGATGATGATGATGATGATGATGATGATGATGATGATGATGATGATGATGATGATGATGATGATGATGATGATGATGATGATGATGATGATGATGATGATGATGATGATGATGATGATGATGATGATGATGATGATGATGATGATGATGATGATGATGATGATGATGATGATGATGATGATGATGATGATGATGATGATGATGATGATGATGATGATGATGATGATGATGATGATGATGATGATGATGATGATGATGATGATGATGATGATGATGATGATGATGATGATGATGATGATGATGATGATGATGATGATGATGATGATGATGATGATGATGATGATGATGATGATGATGATGATGATGATGATGATGATGATGATGATGATGATGATGATGATGATGATGATGATGATGATGATGATGATGATGATGATGATGATGATGATGATGATGATGATGATGATGATGATGATGATGATGATGATGATGATGATGATGATGATGATGATGATGATGATGATGATGATGATGATGATGATGATGATGATGATGATGATGATGATGATGATGATGATGATGATGATGATGATGATGATGATGATGATGATGATGATGATGATGATGATGATGATGATGATGATGATGATGATGATGATGATGATGATGATGATGATGATGATGATGATGATGATGATGATGATGATGATGATGATGATGATGATGATGATGATGATGATGATGATGATGCTGCTGCTGTCGGATTAAATTACCCAGTTGAGGGAACACTATACAATAATGCAATCCACCTGAGCTACAAATATTCTGCACCATTTCCGATTGAAATACTAACCAAGCATATTTATGTCAGTTTCATCCTAACTGAGTAAGTGTTGATTCACAATGGCTAGCAGTCGAGTCCATGATGTGCATTTCGTACTACCTGTTACTCTTCAGCTGGTACTTGGAATCTCCCTCCCAACCTAGGAACAAAGATGGTAGTAATGAGAAGATGCTTGAAAAATATGATGACTTTATTTTGTCTAATAAAATTTTCATCAGTTGCATACAATCTTAATAAATATATTAATAATGACTAGGACATAGTTCAACCTACCTTCTAATTATAAAACGAGAGTAAGCTCAATGAATTTTCCTTTTTTCAAGAAATTTAAGCATTTTTAACACAGTAAAGAAATGAAACTCTATCAGCCACTTCATGCACGCCCATGCAGTATTCAATGAGCTAATGATACTACCTGGCTGCCAAAACGTTATTAGGCGGGGCGGGTTCGAACCCGTGACCGACCCAATGGTGGAAAGTCATCTCATTAAGCCGTTCTTTGATTCACTCACATAAACATTCATTTATTGCCTATTCAATGGATCTTCAAAAACAATATTCAATAAAGTCAACTGAATAAAATTCAATTACACAAATAACTAACAAGAATTTTCAACTTTGTTTTTTGTTTGCTATCGTTATTGCTTTTTTACTACCATCTTTTAGAAAAATTTCTTCATTTTTATTTCTTTTAAGCCTTCAGAGTCTTCTGTCTTCTAGTTAAATAGATGAAGTAAACTATTCTAGATTGATTAATTAGTTAAGTAATCAATCAATTAATCAATTAGTCAATCAACTGATCGATAAATGAATAATTGAAAAGGATTTCTGTTATACAGGTTAATGAGTAAGTCAATAGAGATGTATATTGTTGCTTGTAATTTCTTGTCATTGGTTTCAGCTAATTGATCCATATTTATTGAAAAATTGGCTCTTGCTTAGATTCCTGTATGTTACCTGTAATCTGAATTGTATATTAATGATAGATAGTGACTAACAGTAGAATCCTATGGAATCCACTGGAAATTACTAGTAATATCGAGGCATTTGTGAAGGACCTACATGCCGGGAAATCATGAGCAATAACATAAAATCTATAGCTGAATATCTTGACTCAATACACGGACGGATCACTTTCTGGCATTTCTATCCATCGGCCCATGGTTCGAGTCTCAGTGAGAATAACATCACTCACTAGGAAGTAGATAGATCCAACTGAAGAGTGACAAACACGCGTCTTAAATTCCACTGCTAAACACTATCCATCATAACCCCTAAATATAAACATATTTAAATAATTCAAGCCCATGAATAATCCAAATAAGTAAGAAAAGGTTAGAGAAATATAAGTAGGAGCAGTTTCATAATTGTATGAAGAATTCATTAGGGACTGAGACGATAACTGATTAATTTCAAGGTAGTTTTTTCAGGTACAGCTAGATACTAGCTAAAGAATCACTGGAATTTGTTTCGCCCTACCTTGAGACTCATCAGTGACACATACTAATGACATCATATTGGATCCAGATGAGGAACGTCAAGTCCTAACTAAATAGACCCCTTCATCATTCAATCAGTGAACTGGACTTCAGTGGATCCCATCTCTCTGCTTCTGCGTATTTGTGTCATAGATGAACTGTCTTCTATTCCTATCAGCAGGTGACTATCCTCATACTACACAGCCTTGTTGAACTAACAATCTCGAAATTGATAAATAAAGAGTACTCAATTCTCATTCCCTTGAGTGATTTGCAAAGAATCAATTTATTTGTAGGTTATGTTCATCACTGGGTGATAGTAAGCTATGGATAAAAACTGGTGAGGAATATCATTTCAATGTTTCATCAGTTGATTTCAGATTTTAGTTATCGTGTTTTCTCTTAGCTAACTACCTCAATCGGAAAGTTCTCATCATCTTTCTAGACAAAATCATCAACTCAAATCCAGTATGAAGTGAGATATCCGGATTTCTCAATGGTCATTCAGTAGCTTGACCGACAAATTCATATGCAATCGGTTGTTCATTTCATCGTTATGTCATTCACTACATTGACTTTCTTGTTGACTGTTCCTTGGCTTGACCTCTAACGTTCTGTCATTTATCACTTTCTCATCGATTGATAAATTGGGTCTATATGTCTATACATCTATTGATTACTGACTGATCTAAATGCCAAGCTTCTAGGAATTCTCTGATATTCTTTGTGTTTCCTCTCCCTATCCAAAATGTCTACATTGTCAAAATTAAATTCATCTCCGTAGTAATCCACGTGGTTTGATATAAGCGATAGCCAATTGGTGCTCATGTAGACGATGGCGAAGAGGTGACCACTTTGTCTAATTAGTGTTGGTATGGTAGGATGGTGTGTTTATTGATTTCTGTGGATGACTATGTAGTTGATGATGTACGGGATAGGCATCTTCTGATAAAGTTTCACGGGTAGCGGTTCATCTTTAGGATAGACATCAAGTAATTTTCTTCGTTTGTCCGTGAAGTTGTGTTGTACTGCAGTGTGTTCTCGATCTTTTGAATGAAGTTTGCACACAACTAATTTTGTGTGTTGTTGGGTTGTTGTTACTGTGTGCTGGCTTCCTGTATATTTGGGTTTCCAGCTTCCCAGTATTTATCCTACTGAATAAGACATCCAAGAATGATAGTTGGTTGTTTGACTCTTTTTCCATTGTTAATTTGATGTTATTGAAGATGCTGTTGATCAAACGGTATCATCCACATGGTAGATCCAAATTTTTAGCTTCATCACGGCTAAAGTAGTGGATTTCAGTTTACGCATCACTGCTTCTACAATTAATCCGGGCGTTGGAGATGTTATTGGAGTTCCTTTCATTTGTTTCCATGTCTTGCCAATAAATTGGAAACGTGTTGTTAGACAAAGATCAAAGGGTTCCATCTGACTTGAATATTGTGGTTTTATGCATTCTGAAAACTTGTCATCGTCGATGAAGAGGAGGAGGGATGAACCGAATTAACTGCAATGACTGCATTCATCACTATAATGGATAAATTGGTGGTCCTCTTCACCGTCATTTACATGAATATCAGTTGACCATTAAACATCATGACATTTCATCACTCAATATCATGTGGATGACTGTATCCATGAATTAAATTTTAAAATCTGAAGATGTTGGACGGAGGAAGTGAAAAGAATATATCAGAGAGTTTTTAGAAGCTTAACATTTGGATCAGTCATCAGTTAGTCAATGTATAGATACACAGTCTATCTATCAACTACTGGGGAAAGTGATAGACAACTACCAGGTTAAGGGTGAGATAGAGAAACGATAAAATGAGAAAGTCTGCAGGCAGTCAATGATACAACAATCAAAGGAGACAACCAACTACAAACCAGTTCATCAGGGCAAGCTAGTAAATTACTCATGGAAGGATCTTGATAGCACACTGGATATTGAAGTGTTGGTGTTGATGATTTTGTCTTGAGTAGCAATGAAGTCTTAATGATTAAGCTATCCGGCTGCATAAACACAACACAGTCTAAACTATGAAAATCTTTCTTCATATCAGTTTCTCATTAAAAAAGTTTATGGTTTTAAACTAGTCAATTCCAAAGAAACCTTTCAAGGGATTTGTTTTCAGATGGATTTTCAAATGTTTCGATAGAATGCTGTGTCCTGTTGAACTAGTCGATTCGAATGAGACATGTTTATCAATGATGCTGGATCCAAATAGGACTGAAAGCACGTCCTTGATTCCGCTACTAACCACCAAGTAGACTATGAGGTATTACATCATTTTTCTCCTCCATTATGAACTGAGATAAGTAGAAAACTTTGAGTCATAGAATTCTTTCCCAGTGACTGAACGACAGAGCGGTCTGCACTAGTCGTGTCACTTTTGAGTTCGATATACATCTGCTTGTGGTTTTGTACCGCTGAGGAGTTGAAATTCGATTTTGAATAGATTTGTAGCTGCTTTACTCATAGTGAAAGCTCATTTTTTTTAAAAATTATGAAAAAATAGTTGGGGAAACTCAGGCTGAAAATATCATCTAATTACCAAGATACATTCAAGACATTCATCATCTGGATGTGATGAGATTATCAGATTGACTATTTGAGATAGACGTGGTTTTGCAGACTTGTATCGGTGATACTAGGTGATGACTGAAGGTGGAATAAAAACTTGAACCGCGACAAGATTCGAACCAGCAACCACTGAGTTTCTGGCTCGATGCTCTACCAACTGAACTACGAGGTCCGACTGTCCACCAGATTTCTTTATTTCACTTCAATCGCTATGTGAATTCGTGACGCGTTACTGTCATTTGATCGTATTCACATTGGCTGCCCACTAGTCAGGACTTTCCATCCAAATAGAAATCTAACTGATTTAGAGAGTGGGAGCATCATATTGATTATCATTTTAGACTATATGGGATAGCCATGGTTTGGTAGACTAGTATTGCTATTGGGTAGTGATTGAGGGGGAAATAAAAATCCGGTCAGCAGTCGAATCTCGTAGCTCAGTTGGTAAAGTACCGAGCTGGAAATGCGATGGTCGCTGATTCGAACCTTACCGCTACCCGAATTATCACTTCATATTCAATCATCACCAAGTAGTGAGATTAGCTAACCGTTTGTTTTAAACGATGATAATAATAATAATAATGTTCATCTTAGGTGGTAAGATCAAATTAAGATCAGAAAGGAAAAGTGAACATCAGCTTTGTATGTGAATTCAACGGTCAATATTCAGGATGTTTCGGCATTATTTCGCCATCAGAGTGGTATTGGGTTGATAAATAGTGGAATATGGAAAAAATTTGGAAGTTTGAAAGGTGCTGAATCCACACTGTCTAGAGTGTTAGGTAACAATCAATAGGGGAGAGGGGAGAAGCATTATAAGTGAATTGAAAAACCTGTACACTTCACCACTTAGCTTCTC